CAGCTCTTTGTTGCAGACCCAAGTTACTCTTTTTGTTAGCAAACTGCAAACTTCACATTATGTTATTAAAAAAACATCTTATATTGACATTGGCACAACAGCAAGGAGTTGTTGCATCACACCTATTTTCATACTCAGTATTCATTTTGATCCCAACTACACACCAGTAAAGTTCGGTGACTGCGTCTTGTACCAATGTCTCCAGCATTTGAACATTACAAAAAACACAATTGCATAAATTATCACACCCAGAACACTTTGATTATCATAATTTGCTGAAGCAACGGGTAGAAGTGCTGAGTGTTAGTTTTGCAAAGTGTATTCAGAGAGATTGAGCATGACAGAATGAGAAAAATATGTGGACATGGAGGAGCCTGCTCACAGAAAAGGAAGAGAAGAGTGTGGTGTGATGTCGCAAGAGAGGGCAACAGAATATAGGAAGTGCCAGGAGGATTGCCATGATTTATACATTGGGGAAACCAAATGACCTCTGGCGAAGTGGATGGCACAACACAGAAGAGCTAACTCGTCAGGGCAAAGACCTCGGAGTCTATTCGGACCTGCAGGCCAGTGGACAATCTTTCAATGATGAGGAGCAACGCTGGTTTGAGCTCGTCAAGGAGGCCCTTTACCTGAAAAGGAAAAGACCATCTCTGAATCGAGAAAGGGGCCTAAAGTACATCTTTCACCATCTTCCAATGCTGTGATTTCAGCCATTCCCCAACTCTCTGTGAATGATTATTGATCAATGATCAAAAGACATTGACCTCACAGTCCACTGTTCATCGGTATGAAAATGTATTGTTTATAGGGTTGGGCAAACCTGCAGTCAGCTGAGACTGAAGAAGTTGGATAAGTGACGAAACGTTTCTCCCACTGAAAACGTTTCGTCCAGATGAACAGAATCGACCTTTTAGGAACATAAAGTGTAGAAAAGCGCAGAGGGATGTTGCAACATTCACAAGAAAGTCTCTAGCTGTTATTTCACAAGGAAATTTGAGTTTGTGGACAAAGATACAGGATGTCCAGCGCCTCCCAGAACTACGTTTGTTACTATAGTTGTACACTTTGTTGGAGAGTCTATTGTCAATCTCACAATTTTGACCAGGCTGTCAAACGTACTTGTGATTTTGGTTGTTTGAATTGTTTACTTACTTAAAAACTGAAATTAAACATATGAATTACGGTTCTGGTTGAGTTATTGCCATTGAGAGTTTGGTTATGGCGTCAAAAACCACTGATGAGAAAAAGAATGTCTCTATGTGCTTTCCTGTTGGCCTAATGGCCAAAGCATCAGCCTCTGTAGCTGGGATTGTGGGTTCAAGTCCCACCTGGGTCTTCTTACCTTTAAATTGTGGGTTTTAATCATGAATAGAGTGCCAACACCTAATTTGCATCTTTACACTTCAGTCTGATTAATAATGAGTACATTACAATTATTATTATTAAATTATCAGCTTGGAAGCTCCTAAGACTGCAAAATCATGTAACACAATCCCTTCAGCATGCCTTTAGACTTTCATTTTTTCAGCTAACGCAAACATTAGATTTTTGGGAAACGTGCCTCAGGATTCTTGTATTAATTGAGGTTGACATCGAAATGTCAGCCTTGCATGTGTGTTTATATTTAATGTAAATATTGTTGCTAATGTCTCAAAAAGGCTCAGTACAGACAGGACACACAGTATGGTGGTATCGTAGTTGGAATGAAACGAACCCCATCTGTCCTCCTCTGACTGTTTTCACAGGCAAAGCAAAGCATAAGAGCAGCGAGATGGCCGATGTCCATAACTTAATCAACATCTCAGGCCAAGCGAGCTGGCCTGTTCTTTCAGGCTCTCTCATCTGATTTATGTCCTTCTACTTTTGAATGAATGTACTGGTTTCTTGTTCCTGTATACGGTATGTGCTTAACTGTTTGATAATGATGAGCTAAGCATCAGTTCACACCTGAAAGTTCCTCAGCTTCTTTTTCTACAAATTCAGACTTTTGTTTTATGAGAATAAACATATTTTAAGAACATTAACAGACACAAGGATCTTATTTTGGGACCTCGGGGAGTTTGTGTTGTGTTATGTGGGAAAGTAGGAAAGTCTACAGGCTTTTTATGTTTTATCTGGTGTACACAGCTCACTAGATTTGGTATTTCCAAAGGTAGCAGCTGAGGAAAAAAGTCTTTGTTTTCTCAGTAGTGTGTAAAATTTGCAAACATAAACAGGAGACAGGCTTGAATTTTGATTATCTTGTCTAACTGTCCTTCTGTTAGTCTCTTTCTATGACACATCACTGTGAGTCAGCATCTCAGCGGCCTCAGCGTCTGGAGTTTGTCAGTCATGTTAGTGACATGTGTCATCACAAACAGCTGATGAAAATGGGTATCAATTATGAGTAATTTTTTATTCATCAATTAAATCTCTATTTGCCACTTGTGTGTAATGTCTCCCCCTAATGGTGGCCAGGATGGAATGATTGAAATATCATGATCTAAGAATCACGCAAACTGGTGTCATTTTTAATGCTGTACAAAAGTGAAATTAAACCTGTTTTATACATTCAAGACATCAGACATGATTGGCAGTCACCCTTTAATGCATGGGCTACAAAATAAATAAATAAAAATAAACAAAATCTGTGAAGGTCAATTATAAACATACATTATGGGGCAGGCAACAAACCACTGATTGATTGTTCTTCGTGGCCCCCAAAGGCCTGTTTCAGCACTGTAGTTATGCTTGATAGAGCAGAACTGCTATTATAGTTTACAACCTGATAAAAGAGCAATTACACTGAAAATGGAAACTTCAAAATATTGAAAT